GTATGTATGTATGTATATATATATATATATATATATATGTATATATATTTGTATATAAAATGTAGGTCTACCTGATAGGCGTTTATTATTAGTTTTTACTTTTTTTTTGTCGGGGTCAAATTGAGACAAGCTTTGCTTCTATTTTTGATCCTAATTAATTAATTTTAATGTTGTCCACTTTATTTATCACTTGATGTATTTATTAATTAATTGAATAAATGTTAATTGAATTGAATTGAATAAAACTGCAAGAGGTCCGACTGCCCTTATTTTGTATACAGGCAATAGAACGTTAAAAAAGTACTCCCACGAAGGGGCGTGTCCTTTATATAGAACGTAAGAGGCGTTCGTATCGAACGCGTGCTGCGTTTTGAATTCCAGCATACATTCTAGACACGCAGCACGCATTCGATATGAACGCACTTTACGTTCTTTTAAGGGCCACGGCCCTTTTGGGTAGTACTTTTTGAAATAGGATTGCGTTCCATAGAATCCCTGGCAGTCGGACCTCTTGCAGTTTTGTATTCTTTGCTAATATCTACTGAACTGCATCTAACATTATTTATAATTATTTATTTTGGAAATTACACCTTTACATCGATGGAACACATAGGAGTGGTGCATCTATATGAAAGCTATAATCTATAAAAGGCAAATTGGGGTTTGTGTGTCCGGGATGTTCTCCTTTGTTACTGAGCCGATTTCAACCAAATTTTCACTGAAATGTTCACATTGGCACTGGCCAGGTTATAGGCTATGTGGTGTTTTCCAAAATCTCCTCATTTATTAATAATTAATTAAAAAACTGATTTAAATTAGTCCCGGCCGGCACATTTCACAATGTCATTTCAGAAGGATGCATACGCGTAAACAAAGTAGTTCCGGATAGTCCGAAGGCCCATTAGTCCGAATTAGTGACCTTTTTTACATGAATGCAGGTTATACGACAGTAAAACAATTCCTTTCAATTTATATATGGAGTGAATTAAGATCACTTTTCAAAAACAATATTCCCAAATATTTTTCAACAACATATAAGGCCAAGTAAAAAAAGAAAAATGCTAGTTTCTTGTCACCTCCCGCATCTTTTTCGCTGCCTCACCATTAAAAAAAATATATTTCCTTATTTTGCGAAATGTACAAAAATCTGGCTAACTCACATCGGTAAAATTCCTTTCTCGATCGTTCATGGATAGTGAGTTGAACAATTATCAGTAGTATTATGAATTAAAACTCAATGTACTCAATGAATGAAACTCAATATGAATCATTTCTAGTGCTTCTTTTATTTGCTTTCAATGTGCAGTGGCGGCGCTATAAGGGGACACGGGGGAAATTCCCTTTAGAAAATTTGTTGACCCCCAGTTTTTTCCCCCACCCAGAAGAGTAGAAAAAACACAATTCGTCGGGGAGAAAAAAATATATGTATTTTCTACATATTAGTAGACTATCTATTTAGAATCGATTGAATAACCCTCTGAAACCCCTAAGGTGTCACATTTTCCGGGGGATCCGCCCCAGGACCACTTTCAAACATTTTAATTGACACCCGACAACGCCCACTTTGCTCTTGTCGGGGACCTTTCCCTCCAAAAAAAATCATGCTTTGCCCTTCATTTATCCCCCCCCCCCCAACCCACAGATTTCAGATGCTGTGCCGCCGCCACTGTCAATGTGTCTACTTTGTAAAAGTGAGAAAGTATTTACTGTTTCCCATCGGCCATATGTAAATAGATCTGTTAAGGTTTTCCAACTGGATGGAAGTTACATGCATTCCCCTATTGTTATTAAAATCTTTTTCTGTCTCCTGCATAAACGTTAGAAAATTATACTTACGCTTCATTCGCTTGGTATCTTTTCATAATTTGTTATAAACTGAGCTGACAAGTCATGCTAGCAGTATTTGTATATTGGTAGCCAATAAAAACCTACATGGTTGTCAAGAACATGTGTTTTCTTCAAATATATTTTTGTCTATATTTGCATTAATTACTTCGGACCAAGACCCTTCCTTCGGACCAAAGACCCTTCGGACCAATGGACCTTCGGACCAAAGGACTTTCGGACAAATGCACTGACCCCTATAGGAATATGCATGAATTTTAATCACTAACAAAAACAAAGAGTTCTCTGTGCTACTGCATTGCTAATTACTGAAGGATTTGGTCACTTTGCTTCTTCCTATGTACTGTAGATTTAAGTAAGTAAATATACGTCCTACAAACATGAAAATAGTGGAAAATGTGAGTGACATACATAAGTTTCATGCTTCTACTAAAATTTGAAGTATCATGCCATTTTTTGGGACTAAGAAACCCCACTACTTTGGCTGCATCAAATCATATTCTGCTTTTGCCTGATTGTTTTTAAGAGAAGAAAAATCTTGAATTTTGAGGAAATTAAAAGCCACTAATAATACACCTCAGAAGTCAACAAAGTGACATTTCCAGTCATTTAGAAATCAAAATTTCTGGGATCCCCTCTTTTTTTTTGGAGGGGGGGGGGGCTCATTTACCAACATTTTTATCCCCCTCCTTTAGAATTTCCTGTAGCCAGAGAGGAGGAAGTAGGATAGCCAAAAAGAAAAATGGCCCGAGAAAAAGGGAATTAATTTCAAGAGTACTACAGTACTACGCGTACTGTACATGGTATTTTGACACAGTTTTACCGCGATTAGTACAACCGTGTCAAAATACCACGCGTAGTACACGTAGTACGTGTAGTACACGTACTACGCGTACTACGTGTACTACGCGTACTACACGTAGTACGCGTACTACGCGTAGTACACGTAGTACGTGTAGTACACGTACTACGCGTACTACGTGTACTACGTGTAGTACATGTACGTGTAGAACGCGTACCACACGTAGTAGGCGTAGTACGCATAGTATACTGTGGGTTGGGGGGGGGGAATGAAATATATTTTTTTTAATGGTGAGGCAGCGAAATAGATGCGGGAGGTGACAAGAAACTAGCATTTTTCTTTTTTTACTTGGCCTTATATGTTGTTGAAAAATATTTGAGAATATTGTTTTTGAAAAGTGATCTTTCTTAATTCACTCCATATATAAATTGAAAGGAATTGTTTTACTGCCGTATAACCTGCATTCATGTAAAAAAGGTCACTAATTCGGACTAATGGGCCTTCGGACTATCCGGAACTACTTTGTTTACGCGTATGCATCCTTCTGAAATGACATTGTGAAATGTGCCAGCCGGGACTAATTTAAATCAGTTTTTTATTAATTATTAATAAATGAAGATAAATGAGAAAACACCACATAGCCTATAACCTGGCCAGTGCCAATGTGAACATTTCAATGAAAATTTGGTTGAAATCGGCTCAGTAACAAAGGAGAACATCCCGGACACACAAACCCCAATTTTCCTTTTATAGATTAGCCTCCATATAGATGCACCACTCCTATGTGTTCCATCGATGTAAAGGTGTAATTTCCAAAATAAATAAGTATAAATAATATTACATGCAGTTCAGTAGATATTAGATGTTATACGTACAGTAAATTGGTGGCGCTATACAACTAATTGGTTTACGATGGTCATGATGCTAACACGTGGTTTTTTGACACAATTTTACCGTGAGTGGTACAATTGTGTCATAATACCACGCGTACTACGCGTAGTACGTGTAGTACGTGTAGTACGCGTAGTACGTGTACTACGTTTTTTTGTAATGTAAAGAAATGAAATGCTTGTGTACATAGTTCAGGTGCTCAAATTAAACATAGTTTACATTGCAATCAAATTGTACGTGGCTTTATTAAAAATATTTTTGTTTATGTAGGCCTACTGTACCGTACCGGTATTGTCAACAAACACTCACTGAAATCGTTTTAAAATAGGCCTAGTTTAAAATTGGTGAGATCGTCGGAGCGCCAGGGACCCTGTACCCACACTAGGGCTCCGTCCCTGAACCCCGGAGGGGGACGGCGCCCCCCCACACCCAACTGGTGTAGTCACGCATTTCAAAATCTCTCAAGCTGGTAACTATGGCCTATGGTCAAGTCTGGATAGGTGGATATTGTCTTTTTAACATCAAAATAATCAGGCCTATGTTAAAAGTACTTAATAATCGTAATTGTTTTATAAATTGTACCAGTGTTCATTAGCGTGGACTTTAATGTGCCTCGCACTGTTGGTACACGTCCCGCATGAATTACCGCGCCATGGCTCGCATGAATTGCATGCCACGCTGGATGACTCGCTGGCTCGCACTTTGGCAACCCTCCTGAACTCATGGGTACAATCCTTTTTTTCTCTTTCCTCTCTTTAACTAAAATGTTTCATCCTCTTTTTTTTTTATATAAACATATTATTGACGTGACAATTACGTGATGTATTTATTGTTTAATTACTGGTACATTACAGACCCCCGAAACACCGGGACAAACCATTAATCGGTAAATTATATAAACATATTATTGACGTGACAATTACGTGATGTATTTATTGTTTAATTACTGGTACATTACAGACCCCCGAAACACCGGGACAAACCATTCGAGCTTTAGTGGAACATCTTATGGAAATAACGTCATCTGAGTACGATAAGTCACGTGTTATAATACGTTGGGTTGCGACTAACATCGCATATGACCTCAACTTCCTAAACACGGGTAGCAGGCCTTCTTCAACTGCAGAAGACGTTTTGAAGAAGCGCTCTGGTATCTGCGAGGGATTCTCAAATTTGGTTCTTGAAATGTGTCGGTAAGATATTCTAAATAAAGAAAAACAAGAACAATGTTGAAATACTAGTGAATTAAGTGAACAACTGGACGTGGCTCTAGGATAGGCTTAACTATCGAAAACAAGCGCAACTATATCAAGGCATATTACAGCCAAAATTTAAATGAATTTAGATGAATAGCTCACGAGTTGCCACATTTGGGTTTATTTTTGAAGCTTCAGTCAGACCATAATTCATTATCTCAGATAGTAGGATTTTGATATTTAAATCAAGTAGGCTTCTGATGTGATTTTTGTATGATCAATTCTTAGAATCGCTGGCTTAGAATGCGAGAAAATCTGTGGCATAGCCAAAGTGTTTGGCTATAAATTTGGTGATGATCTCAGGAGTGCAAAGTTCAGACACGCCTGGAACCGAATCAAAATATCAGAAACGTGGTTTCTGTGTGATGCTACGATGGCATCCGGATATATTAGTATGTATGGCCTCTACAATGCATTATGTTATTACCTATCATTACCATCATCATCATTACCATTTTCTTTTTCATTACCATTAATGTTATCATTGTCATTTCTCACCAATACTACCACCACCACATTTCCAATAATATATAGCCCCCCCCCCCTACTACTGCTGCGCTTCTACTTTATTTAGGCCCTACTGCTTTTCCACCTGCAGCGGCTCGACTTCAGGATATCAAAGAATATAGATAGAGGAAGAACGAGCAGCGCGCCCAAAATCGTGAAATCAACCGAATTGAATGATGGAAGGCCAGTGGAGTACGGCGCCGCGTATCGGCGGTGTGTATAAAAACTTGGCTAGTGTAGTAGGTTATTCATAGGCTACTATAGAGAGTTCTGACCTTAAGGTATTTATTAATTATTGTAGGTCTATCTATTCTTGTTCTTATAGCTTAGACCTATATAAGAATTGGATAGGCTAGGCCCGGCCCCTAGCTTTCAAATAAAAAAAGGAACATTACAATGTACACTATAGTATTATTATATTATTATTATTATTATTATTATTATTATTATTATTATTATTATTATGTACACTATAGTATTATTATATTATTATTATTATTATTATATTATTATTATTATTATTATTAATATTATTATTATTATTATTAT